GCCTAAGACGAGAACCAACTGGCTACTGTGCCAGGGGGGTTCAAGGAAACGAGACAGGTCAGTGAGCTAAACCCTCAGCTCAGCTCAGCAGCAGCTCAGCTGTTGCGAAATTTTTGGTAGGCACTGTTGCAAAGGAACATTTGAGGAAGGATTTGAAGACAGAGTTACTCCAGTGTTTGCCTGTTTGTGTGACCTTCTCCATGCTGTGGAGCGAATGTGGAGGCAGGCATGGAATAACGAATTAACAACACAGGCTAGTGCTGTGACTGAACAGAAGTTCATCCTCACAGCAGCACCAAGACCAGCTGACACGAATGTAATCTGCTGTTTGGCTATGCCTGCTCGTCTACAACCATGTGTGGAGGTACAGTCTGAAAAAAAAAATGAAGTATGTTCTTTATAACTTGGTGAAATGGAAGTCACGTTTACCTCAGCACCCTTTAAGCAGCAAAGAAAGAAACGCCAACAAGAAACTCAGCTCACCTTGTATCCCTACCATAATGCCACTGCTTAGCCTGGAAGATGAAAACCCTGAATTTACTCATATTTTGTTTACATAACAGTACATAACAAAAAGGAACTGGAGCAAGATCAGGGCAGAATGAAAAAAAATACAACCTAGGCATTCAGCAGTCAAGGATACATCACTGCCTCGGACGTCCACTCGCGGGGAGAAATGGCCAGTCTTCCTCAGCTTGGCGAGGCGCAATGCACTTCTGGTTACTGGGGTGGGTGATCCCCATCAGCTGCAGAGCTCAGCAGCTGCCTTCCCTGGCTATGCGAAATGCCAGGCAACCTTAATAACAGGTTTTGCCACCTGTCTCTCCTGTAATTATATTAATATTATAAGTATCATAAAGCCAAGGATGAAAGCGTTGACTAGGACTAGCATTTATCTAGGACTCCCATTAATCTGCATATAGGTGACGTTTTCTTATCTGAAAGATGTCTGCCTTCATTAGGGCTGAAATGTTTAGATACGTTGTTTTCCCTGAAGCGTATGCCAGTGAAAGGGCTAGATTTTAGCTTTGTGGCAGAGTGATCACAGCAGCAGTTTGTGATGCCAGTTTGTCACAAAAATGTACAAAGGGCCAGAACATGCCCTCCTATAATGAAACCCACGTACAGAGACTAAGGAAAATGAAATCGGTGAGGAATTTCTCCCGTGTTACTACTTCCACAGAATTTTGCCCTTACTGTTTCGTGAGGGGAACGAGGTAACCCCTCCGCAAGGAAGATTTTGCGGAACTGTCCCAGACTTGGTCCCCAGGAATGCATGCAGAGCCCAAGAAACTGCCGTGCTCAGAGACCAGCCACATGGAGCCCATATGCTCCCGTCGGATCCGATGCTCGCTCGAGGCAGCTCTATCGCAGCCGTACAATCAGGAACTCCCTGTGTTTGTGACGATGCCATATCTGATCCCTTCCTTCCTGGATATAAATAGTTCCATTCTGAAGAACAGCCAGTGAGATATTCATCATAATTTCATGTTGCTATTTTTGAAAAATAGATACGCAGTTTTGTCATGCACAACTTCCAACAGGAAATATTTTCAGCTTGTGGCAACACAACTCTTACTGACCGATAGAGCATCCATCCCGTGTTTAGCATGTGGTTTGTGATGGTTATCCAGTTTAATATTGACCGTTTCAAAATACCAGTTCGATAAAATAATTATGAAGTACTAGAAGCATTTTGATGATTTTCTTTCTCGTTATTTCATTGATTATCAGTAATTGACTAGCGAATTTAGAGAATGTTTCAACTGCTAATGCCACTTTTTAGCCTGAGGACAGAACTCCCATAGCGGTGGCTGGTTTTGCAGGGTGAAGTTCAAACTTCACTACAGAAAAGTGTTAAGTCCCACAGCTTGTGCGATTTGGATCTGTTTTAGTGATAGCCCACAATAAACATTTTTATTGAAATTTCATTTTTATATTTGCAAAAATATATTGAATTTCTGAAGACTAAACCCTATTCCAGCTGGGGCTGGTATAATTCTGTGGTCTATGTATGAAAGTGAAACACCTGGAAATCACGATTTGGAAAGACCAAGTGTGGAAAAATAAAAGTTTTTCATCTATTCTAAATGGAGTTGCTTGTAGGAAAGCGTTTGATCAGTCCTGAGGTTTTTTTACTTTTCTTTACTCAAGTGCAGCTGGTCACAGTCAGTAGAAAGGTTACCACTGGCACCAGTAACTTCGAATTACACACTTAACACATTCACTTAGTTACACAACTTGTACCCTCAGCAAGTGCTCAGAATATATTTGAAAACCCCAGTAAAACTTCCAGCAGTTTGTGTCACAGTATAAATGCCATAGTAAAAATGGGGGAGGGTGGAAGCTCCTGCTGATGAAAACTAATTAATATGTAAGCAAAATCAAAGTCACAAGAGACATCTTCATGTTAAACTGAGGTGTTAAGAAATGTCCAAGATGCTATGTTTTTATACATTAGTGTTTGGGTTTTTTTTAACCAAGAAGACAGCTTAAAACATTTTTTAAACTAAAGAACATTATAATTTCCCTTTGTTTCAAAATATCACAGCAAAAGTTCTGCTCTCAGGTCTACACACTCGGTCTCAACCAGACTTGACTCTAGGGGGTTCCAGAAAGAGATTATCATACTCAGGACTTACAGTTCTGAAGATACAGGTTGGAAAAAAGCTGCCCAATAAAAACAATTTGAGACTTGTTTCTGTTAATATTTAACATCTTTTATGAAGGAACAATTCTATCAGAACAATTGAGTTTACTCACCTTTTTGCTTTAGTTATATTGATGGTACATATTAGTTGATTGATGAACATTACCCCTTCAATTACTGGCATTTTCTGAACATATAAATACAGAGTTACATTCTTCGAGTTCTGTAAATTTATTTTGTCAAACTTCCCAGAGGAAGTTAAAGGGTAAGAATGTTATCCTTCTGTGTGTATTTTCAATGGTTTTCATTATAATACATTTTTTCCATAATCAGAAGTGTTGGTAGGTCGCATGGAATACACACCAAAATAGATGGAGGGGTTACAGCCTCCCCATAGGGTGACAGAAGCTGTTCACGTGTATCAAGAGGGCAACATCCCCTGTGGCAGCAGAGCTACCCGCAAAGCGCTCTATGAGGTTTATGCAAAAAACCCCTCCCAGTACTGTTGAAAGACGCTAGTGACAGCCCCCTCAGCTACAGAAGTGCACCGGCTTTCGTCTCTCCCTCTCCTGTTAAGCAGGAATACTTTTTCCATCCTTTCCTGTTCACTTCCTAACTTCCCAATAATATACTAATATCCTTCTGACAATTTCAAAAAGCAGTCGTTATTACTGGTGAATGCAGAATGTTCCCAAGTGTGGCCTAGTTGCTTGTCCCAAAGTTTGGGATAGGCCATCACCTGCTTGGCATTTCCATAAAGTTAGCACTGATGATAAATGGAAGAACCAAATCCAGCTCCTCAGCCTAACCCAGCCAAATGGTCTACGAGTAACTAAAAGCTGCGAGTGAGGCAGTGGGAATGCACGCTGTTTTGGAGTCAAATCTAGTTTTTTATTTTAAGCCACAAGAAACAGCCATGTTTGATTATATTGCATTTCTTCAAAGAGGCATCTTGTACTTCACTAGGAGATAATGTGACATGTTATTAAGTGCTTATAATTGGTGTGTTTTTGTTAAAATATACAGTATAAGTCATTCTTTTGAGTAAGCAGTAAATGAAATTCATATTTTACAAAACCACAGCTTTCTTCCAGCTTATATCTTTCAAAAATAAACATGATTGCTTAACAATAAGTTACAAAGAACAAAATACACATTCCT